ATATCATGTACACAATAATTACGGCAATACATCAGCGGTGACGGTTGACCGCACGTACTTTCTCCTCACTATTGTTCCCTCCTTGTGATCGCTACGTGAGTAAGGGGTGTCTTCATTTGATAGGAGGATGCTAGGGTCAATCGTCACCGTGAAAGGGGGTTGCCCATCCAACTGATCATAATCCTCGTCAGTCTTGTCCTCAACTCCGACGATTTTTCTTTTGCCTAGGAGAACCACGTGACGCTTCGGCTCGTCAGGCCCTTTGCCCTTCTTTCCTTTGCTAGATATGTCCTTCATGTAAAAGACTTGCGTTACATCATTGGCAAGGACAAAAGGTTCGTCCGAGTATCCAACCTTTTTAAGGTCAACCGTTGTCATCCCACTGTCATCAATCATTACGCCTCCACCAGTCAACCTAACCCATTGGCACCAGAACAGAGGGACCTTGAGAGGACCATAGTCAAGTTTCCATATGTCCTCGATGGCACCATAATACGTGCCAGTTGTTCCATCGTATCCTATGGCATCGATACGAACATCGCTGTTTTGGTTCGTGCTCTTCATGTCTTAGGCTCTCGTGTTGAATGTGTACCCATTGATCTCATATCCCTGGAATGTCGTGATCAACCCAGATGGTCCCCTCGCCAGGAAGGCCAGTTGTTGGTTGATCGTCTCATTACCCATGAGATGTTGTCGTGGCCACGCGGGGAAAGTATCAATGTGATGCCGTGTAATCCATGCATCGGACTTACCGATGTTTCTGGCGCGAACTAGAGCCAAGTGCTCCTCGATGTAAGGAGCTACCAATGAAGATTGTTGTAGAACCGTGAAATGGGCTTTACAGAATAAATTGTTGTCTACCGTCATTATTGCTTTCCTTCCGAGAGTTCCCTTTCCCCGTAGTCTCCCTTCATGGTGTGATTCAGGTACCCCGATTGGACGAATGTTTTCAATAAATTCCATGCAAAATTCGATGACCTCCTCTGTTCCATACCCCTTGGCGATGCTTGCCTCTGGACGAGCACGGTTACGAACATACTTCTTCAGAACGCCCATGTACCTCTCGAAAGGAAACATGTTGTGTAGATACACAGACCCGAGAATACTGATCTCTTTGAAAAGGTGACAAAGCAGATGCGTCATTATATTGAAAAATGAAGGTGAAAATATCAACTCAAAACTGACAAGACATTGCACCACATCATTCTGAAGGGCTTCTAATCTATCCGGATCGATGACCTTCTGCGAAATTGCGTTCATGAAAGCACATAGCTTTGTTATTATTGCCGGGACATTGTCTGGAAGGATACCCCTTATTACAACTGGTAGCAGTTGTGTCATCAACACGTGACAGTCATGAGACTTTAGGTTTGTGAACTTCTTCTCCTTTGTGCTTATTATTCGTGGAGTATCCAGACGGTACCTTTATGCTCTCCAAGCATTCAAACATACTTTCCTTCTCTGCCTTGCTAAGAGTGTAGCTGGCTGGACTCAAGTAATGGCTTCCTTTCTCCTTTGGTTCCGGGTGAAGGTCGCCGTGTTGTTCCATATGCTTCAGATCATTACGTGCTTCTAGTATATCTTTCGACTTTCCATATACACCTAGGAAGCCAAGAAGGTTTACGCAAAGGTTCTTAGTGAGGTGCATCACATCGATTACGTGGCGGACGTCCAAGAATTCCCAATAGGGTAACTCCCAAAATATAGAGTTCTTTTTCCACATCGCCGCGTGACCATCTTCGCTCTCTATAGGCTGGCTTCCAGGCCCCTTTCTGAACACTACTTTAAGATCTTTAACCATAGCAAACACTGTTTTCCCGCTGCGATGTTTAGGCTTCGTACGGTGGTCCGCCTTATGTTCAAAGTGCTTGCCTTTCTTCCGTATCGGGTGGTTTGCAACAAGGAATCGATGATAACCCATGTACACAACCTTCCTACAGTGCTTAAGATACGTACTTTTTGTTTTATCCATACAGTGAGTGCAAGCCTTGTACCCCTTGTTGGACTAACCGGAAAGGTTGCTAAGTGCAGGCCAATCGTTGATGGTTACGAACAGTAGCGCTCGTAGGTTAAACTTCTCCTGTTTGTCCTCGTCCCACAAGGGGACACCTTCCTTTTTCCACAACAGTTTAAGATCTTCGACCAGTGGTCTTAGATACACATCGATGTCGTTACCAGGTTGCTTGGGGCCTTGAATAATAATCGGCATCATTTTGTACTTCCTCTTCATGCATAGCCAGGGGGGAGGTTGTAGATACACATCGTAACGGGCCAAGTGCTATGGCCGCTGCTCATCTCTCCGAAAGGATTCATGCCATCCATACTTAAACCAAACCGTATGTTTCGTGCGTCCTTTCCAAAGTCTTTAAATTTTCTGTCGATGTTTCGCCACTGCGAACCATCGGCGGGGTGTCTCAGCATCCCGTCCTGTTGACGCTCTTCAGCGTGCCATCGCATCATTCTAGCATTCCCCTTGTTCCTGAACAAACGCCTTAGCCGTGGTATTATAGGGAAATACCACATCACCTTAGCAGGAATTCTCTTCTTTGTTAGCTGCCTGTCAACTTCTCCTGGATCGTCTCGTCTAATCTTGTATCGTAGTGCTTTGCAAACAAGGCATGCTTCTAGGTTCTCGTACTCCTCACCGCGATATAGGATACAATCATTCGGATATGCGTGAATCTTTTGAACTTCCAGTCCTAGAGGGAAGACTATCTTCATAGTCTCGTACGTTGTCTCAGGCAATTTGTTTCCCTCCGGAAGAATGTTCTTGACGAGTTTCAATAAATCGCCAAATGCCTTGTCACTAACATCATTTTTTGCCTTCCATTGTAAGAACTCCAGAGTGGTATCCAACTTTTTGTGCCCCTGCTCGCAACCTGGGTACAACGACGTTCTGTGGTCCTCTAACATCTTGTCCAATTTATGGGCCCCCTTTTCACTTTCACAGTCCTCCTTGGCGTCCTACAACATCTGACCAAGATCATCCGCAACGTCGTTACCATCAGCATCCCTTTCCTCCTCGCCCGTTTGATTTCCTTCAAATCCAGCGTACTGATCAAAGTCCGGAATATTGTCGTCTTCCACTTCATCTACTTCCATTTCAACCCCTTGCTCTCCGTGGGATGTCCAACAGTTATAGCTTGGCATGAACCCCGACTCAAACAAGTGAAAATGAATAGTCCTGGATGCAGAATACTCCTTCTGATTCTTACACTTATTGCATGAACAAATAAAACCCTTATGCCTGTTAGCTTCGGCCATTCTCAAAAAATAATGCACGCCGTCAATAAACTCTTTGGACCGTCGGTCAGCGTACATCCATTGCCGATCCATCTACATGAGATGAAAAAAAATCGTACACAAATAATTATTCGTACAATAATGACAGTCATACAATAATTATAAAATAATTACAAACTCTTTCAACAGTCATACAATAATAACATATCATTATTCATACAAAAATTATAAAATATTACACCAAATAATTCTTATTTACTATTTCTAAAGTTTTAAACTAATATTAATGTGTTGTACTTCTTTTAATTTTCATTTTAGTTTGTTTTCTATTATTTAAGATTAACTTTCACTATATTTCCCTTCTCAACTATTTTATAAAACCTTCTTTAGCAAATAAACTAAATTTCTATATATTCTTTCTTTCCCACACAAATTTTCTCTCTCATCAACTTACAACTAAATTTTGGAGACAAAATTGTGCAAAACATAGCTCCAAATGTAATATGACAAAAAAAACATTGGAGGATGAAGTTGCTAACCTTTTAGGCACCTCCGATTTGTATATAATCACCAAAATAAATTTACTAGAAATTTTGGCATGACATCTCCTCTTTTTTGAAGAAATTTTGAAGCTTGCTTGGGCAGCTGGAGGAGGAAGAAGACATATATATAGGGGGTGAGACTTTAGTCCCGGTTGGTGTTATGAACCGGGACTAAAGATCCCGGGGGGGCCTGACAGGCCCTGACAGCATTTGAACCGGGACTTACCAACCAGGACTAAAGATCATCTTTAGCCCCGGTTTTTATTGCAACCGGGACTATTGAGGAATTCGGCCGACCGACGAAAGATGGTTTCTCCACCAGTATATATATATATATATATATATATATATATATATATATATATATATATATGACTCCATGGTGCCCGGGCTCCAAGATATAAAACACACAAATTCTCTCAAATTTTTAAAAATTTTCAAATTGTGAGTATATACCTAGGTATATGAATTTGATTCATACATATACCTAACAACAAAACAACTCAAACTCAACTTTATTTCATAATTCATTATTACATACCTAACGAATTATATGTTTGAATGTTATATACCTAGAACTAAAATATAACAAAAAAAAAGTTCAAACTTGTTTGAACTTGTTAGTAAAGAAGTTAATGTTCATATCTAAACATTTTAAAAAATTTCATACTCATTCAAATTGGGTATATACTCAATTTGAATCTTGGAGCCCATACTCCATGTAGCACCAGTTAATATATATATATATATATATATATATATATATATATATCGCACGAAAACTTCAACGCAAGCATCCATGACTTTCTTTTTCTTGAGTTCCAGGTTTGCTTTTGCCTGCAAATCAACAACAAAGACAGGAAAAAGAAACACTGCGAAAGAATGAGAGAAAAAGACATGCATCGATGAGTCTCAGCCAATTATTGATTAATTAGTTCGAGGGGGTTTTGCTTTAATTTTCTCTGGATAATTGTTGGGAGGCCACGAAATAAAAGTTTGCTGCGTTTGACTTTTGCATCAACCTTGGAGATTTTGCTGAGGAGAAGAAATTAATTAATGGCGGTTGTGATGGCAGCAACAGTGGAAATTATCGGAAGAATGTACTCTGTCTCATGGCTTATCCGATTGCATAATTACATTTTTTTTCCTTGAATATAATTAATTCTGTACCAACCTGGTGTGCACAGACATTTAACCACATAGGAAGAAAAGTAATTAGTTAAACTGCTTCATAATTAATTGGAGCTTAACCATATGTTACCAGTACACATATGTACAGAGAAAATTAAACATGTCTCAAATTCTCAAAATTTCTCCTTTGTGTCACACATGTAGAATTTTTTTTCCTTTCAAATGATCTCTATCACTCTATGCCTGTATGGACCTGTACACGGCTAGCTCTAGATTAATCTGTATACTTGAGCCTAATGATCAGCAAAATGCTATAGTACATTTTGATCTCGAAACAGGTAGCTGAAAAAGCTTACTACTAGCTAATTAATTAACTAATTAATTAATTAAACTGAACTTTGATCAGTCATCCCTCGATCGATCGATCGATCGCCATGGATTATTCAGAACTTTGATCAGTGTTGATCAGTGCAGGCTTGCAAATGCTCGACCATCACCTCTTCCTGCTCGGCGTCGCCATGGGAGACGACCTCGACAAGATCGACGTCATCCTCGCCGGGCTCAGCATGCGGTAGCCGGCGGCCGCCGCGCGGCCCTTGCTGCCGCAGCTCGGGAGGCCGCATATCGGCGACGCCGCGCCGCCGCCGCCGATGGAGAGGTCGTCGTCGTCGTCGCCGCCGCCGCCGCAGCCGTCGCGCTCCATCTGCCAGAGCACGTCGAGGAACGCGTCGACGGCGCACGGCAGCGCGAGGGGCCCCTGCGCCGCGTAGCCGTACTCGCGCTCGGCGTCGTCGAGCAGCCGCCGGAACAGCGGGTGGTTGGCGTACTCGGTGCGCACCACGAACCGCTCCCGCTCCGGCCCCACGTACACCGAGAAGCACCCGGCCACCGGCGCCGCCGCCGACCTGCCGCCGCCGCCGCTGCTCAGCCCGGACTTGCACCGCTCCAGCGTCCTCGATATCAGGCTCTTCGTCCTCCTCACCCCCTTCGTCGACGACCTCGCCGCCGCCGCCATGCCACCGCCTCTCTCCACCTCGACTCGATCAACGACGACGCGTTCGCCGCCGGCGCCGCGGCGCGCGCTCAGGTGGAAGAAGAAGCAAATGCAATGACTCTCTAGCTTCTTCCTCTCTGTGTTTGTAGTATATATAACTATATATATCTATATAATTATTATATATACTATAAAAATAAAATCTAACTTGATGCAGCTAAGCTTCAACTTCTTGGAGGAAGAGACATAGATAGATGAATGGTGAGAGAGCTAATTAAGCTAGGTTGTGTATAAGGATTAAAGAAAGGAGAAGATGGTAGTAGAGATGCTTGATCAACTTAAGCTAGGTTAATTGGACACACCATGCATGTGTATTAGTATATATATAAGAAGAGAATCATGGTGATGAGAGAGAAAAGAACATGTGACTGCATCTGCAGCAACAAGTGGAGAGAGAAAGAATGGAGTAGAATTCAGTGGAGAAAAGGCAGCTGCAATGCAATGTTTGACATGGGCTTTGAAAGTTTTTGAGATCTCAAAAATGCTCAATTATTGTGTTGAGATAATGCTCTCATATGGTCAACGACTGCCGTATGTATGTGGAAGAAGCACTGTCTGAGAGAGACTGATTAAAAGTTTTTTTTTAAAATACCAGTTTTGTTCTGCTAGGTTGTTTTGTTCATGATTCAGATATTTATTTAGGGGAGAGGTTAGTAGGCTCGTTTTTTTCACGCATGCTAATTAAGATTGTTGAAAAAAAATGCAGTGAGGATTCTGCATGACGCGTGATTTTGTCATCTCATTGTACATGTATGTGCGTAGGTAGTTGCGTAGTACTGATGCTTCTTACTACTATAAAGCTTATTAATTAGTCTAGATATAAAATTTGAAGATTTTTGAACTGAGCAATATTAGGGTGTTTTTTTTTTCATTTTACCATCTCAATTTCATATTTGATTATGATCAAAAGTTCTTCATGATTATCACATCTATGGACGGGGGGATTCAGACATCATATCCCTGTGATTCCAAAAATAGTCGACTATAAACTTCTGTACATGGATTAGTAGGGGAGTTAGTAGAAAAAGATGCAACATTTATTTATGAGAGGAAATAGTATTTCTTTTGCAAAAGGACAGGGAAGAAAATAAGAGAAACTGTCTAGAACGGTAGGCTGCTAACCTATTACAATGTTTGAAAATCAGTACTTATGCAAAAAAAAAATGTTTGAAAATCAGAACAAAAAATGCTGCTATCCTTCACCTCTGAATGTCCTGATGATGGCAGTAATTGCTTGTCTGGATGAAATTATATCATCAGATGGTGATTGAAACACAGAGCAATTTGCAATTTGATACTCGTGTAATCAGAAAGGTGATTCAAAGATGTGAGGCTGTGTGTGTCATTGCAGAAATTAGGAAACTAAGAAAGTTTCTTCAGGCCTTTCATGCATAATATGCATCAGTGACACTTTCATATCTTTGTATAAAGAAAATCTAAAACGGTTTTTTTTGCCAGAAAAACGATTTATATCTAGGAAAGAGTTGAAAAGGCTTAGAGGAGTGTGTAGACTAATTCGCCTTTAAAAGCGAAAACAAAAAACCTCTTCAATTTTCCTCTCTCTTGTTTCAACAGCGACAGCATAATCTTGTAAATCAGAGTACTTTCAGATATAAGCAAGTTTGTCAGTTTTCACATACTGATGCTGTGCATACACAATGGAATAATGGATTAGAAAATGACACTAACAGATAAACCTGTTCCGATCTTGAAGGAGGACTTCTTGTAAATTAACTGTATCCAAGTGCTCGTGTGGTCCTGTCAGTCTACAGATTAATCAACATATTCAAACTGCAATTAACCGATTACACTTTCTCTGCGTTGTCTCGATCTGTACTTTTGCTGGATTTCATAGCAACTTGGGCTAGATTCGATCAATCAGTCCGGTTATTTTACACTTATATTCAGGACGTACTGCTCGATCGATTGCGATTTTGCAGATGTTTACAGGTGTAGGCGACGGCCGGTGGTGGTGTTCAGGATTCAGATTATTGCTCGCATAATTAGCTCTGCTGAATTGATTAATTAGCTTGCCATTAATTAAACATGTTGGCATTGCATTTGGTCGTCATTTGCAGTCGTGCTCGTTGGCTTAGGGAGACATTGATTGATGATAGTTAGCGTGTGCTTAAACATATTGAAGTCATTGGTTGACTTGGAACATTGACAAAGAATATGTGATTATGTCAATGTTATTAAACATCGGCAAGGAATTCAGGAATTTATCCAAGAATATTCAAGCAAACTGAAAAGATACCTCGTGGTCTTCCAATGTTATCGTCTTTAACCTGCCCAGCTCGTGCAGATATTATGTCCGTAATTAATTAAAAGCATTATTTTTGGTAGCGTCATTAATTTCATGTTACATGGACTGATAAGGGTAGTCCCAATTCTTAATATAGGATAGTGTTAGAATTAAAAAGACCTGCCATTTAGGACTTATGATGATGTAGCAAGAGATTAAAGGAAGAAAGGATAAAGAAATAGAGCGTTATATACATGGACCTAGTTTCTACACGATATGCAAGATATGGCGTAAGACGAATTGCGTTAATTAGCATATTGTATTAGTGGTGTACACATTGAGAGTTGGATAGTAGTTTGTATTCCCTACTTTTTTTTATATTATAAATCATTTTAACTATTTTTTATAGTTAACTTTTTTTAAGTTTTATCAAATTTATAGAAAATTTAGCATCATCTAAAACACGAATTTAATTTTATTAAATCTAACATTAAATATATTTGGGTAATATATTCATTTTGTATTGAAAATGCTACTATATTTTCTTTTAATTTTTTAAAAAATGACAAAAAAAGGATAAAGTAACTTATAATATGAAATGGATAGAGTAGATGCTGTAGAGGATATAAACACCGTGTCCTACACTGGGACACTGCCCTAACAATATTTAAATTTCCCAGAATCTTAATAATTTAGGATGATCAATCAGTTCAAAAACAGAGAGGTTGGAAGAATGACAACATCCTAGCTATTATTATTTGATTAGATAATAAACCATTATTGTGATTTGAGATTGAGAGTTGAATAGATAAGCCTTAGCTTATCCCACTTGAATAATTATCTGGATTAGATTTCCTCAGTTAAATCATGTCTAGCTAGATCCATCCTTAGTTACATCTATCGCTAGATGCAGCCTGCAGATTAACCAAGACGTGTCTAACACAATCTCCTGTCAAGCTTAAGCTATCTGTCACATTGTCAGGCTAGGTGATGACGACCGTGTTTAGAAGTGTTCATGGCATCAACACCAATGGTAGCCAATTGTGTAAGCCTAGTACTACAAGACAAAGACTTTTTTTTTAGAATGTAATCAAGACAAAGTCTTAATTTGATAGTAGTTGTGATTATTTGGCACGTTAGTCTCTTACACTTGTACAGCCACTGTACACGTGAGGATTGGTTTGACATTAGGGTGGTTTACGACCCACCGTTTTGTCCTACTGCTTGATTCATTGGATGTAACAGTTGCTTGAAAGTACTGTTTTGGAGCCATAATACCATTTTCTGAGGGACATTTATAAGATATTAACTCTGGTTTTTGAGAGAGTACATTTGGATGTAAATGGTTACCGCACATCTAGTGACGGATAAAAAAAAGCATGAGAGTCTAAATAAACTAGAACAAAGCTACAACCCCTCTCGTGGGGGCTCTCTTATGGTCTTCACGCCAATAGTAGAGACTCGAACTCCCATAACCCCTATGCTAGATCCGCCCCTACGCACACTCCACATATGTGGCCAAATGTGCGAGACACATATGCTTAAATATTATGTGTGGGTGTGCATATGCAACCAAGACGAAAAATATATACACTTATACATACTATGAGTAAAAACGAGTGCTAAATGGAGGATTCAAATCTTGGTGGACTGATGTGTACAACAACACAGAGTACCGTATGAACACACGCTAGCTTCCACATTTTAACATTATTTTGATATTTCCATAGCAATAAGTTTCCCAATTTCAAAATATAGCACTACCTTTATCCCTAAATATATGGCGTCCATAAACTTAATTATCGTGTATATTTGTTGTTGGTGTATTTCTTGCCTATAATTTGTGGAGAAATACACCTACTGATTTAGCCAAGATATTCATCATATCTTAGTAATGTTCCTATTTAACAAAGAATTAACTCTACGCATGCATGTTTCCAGCTTATTTTCTTTAGCACTTTCAACAAGTTTTCTGATTTTTTTTAACGAACCAAGTTTTCTGATCAACAGTAGTATATTTGCCACACTAACATGCACATGAACAATATGATGGGGAATATACTTTTTCTTTGAAAAATAAAAAATAACACAAACTTTTATAACGTACCTTGTTTGTAACTAACATTTATATATACACTAAAAAGTATTAAGTGGCACTGTTGAATTAAGTTTTTTTTACGAAACACTGTTGAATTAGTTGCCCTTCTAATTACTGACTCACGCTTTGTCACGGCAAATATATATAATTAAGCTATCGTGTAGAGATTCCGGAGCAATACAAAATCCCGTATTTCTTTAATCTCAATAATGCACGTATAGAATATTATTATACATATATAGTACGTCTACTGACAGTGATTATTGGATGGTAAGATAAATTGAGTCCGTTACGTACTGTGAACAAATTAAAGGTTGAAATTTATGCTCGGTGAAAGCAATTAAAACATGAACCCAATTTACTAACTACTCCTACCTTGTGATTTATATTGTGATGGCTGCAGGTCAACTCGTCAGTCAGATGTCAAGAACAGTGTTCCTGGCTGACTTTTTTATTTTTATAACGAACCACACCAATGCGAAATTTTATAGTGAGTAGTAGTAGGAAAAAATTACCACCCTACATTCCTAGAAGTCTACAATAAAAAAAAAGAGAGAGAAAGCAACACGCTACCACTATACACCGACAACACTCATGAGAGAGGGATAGAGTTTAATAGATACCACTAAAGAAGTTCGACAAAGTTGATATACACACTTGTAGGCTAGCTGTATGCTTTTCTTAATAACCTGTGCATTGATGTCAGTTTCGTGTAAATGTTTTTAATTACCACACGATGTTCTCAATTTGAAGCGGCTAGGAGTTCCTAAAATTGATGGGTTGATAGCTGATTAAATGCACATCATCATCATTTAATTAGAGGAGGATGTGCATTTAATCAGCTATCAACCCATCAATATTAGGAACTCCTAGCAGTATATGTACAAAGATTGATTAAAAACTAGTAACCGTATCAACCAAACATCTTTGAAGTAAGCTTGGTAGTAGATGCTTACTTTGGATTTTCAAGAGTACCCTATATAGCTGCCATTGGCATTTGGATTGCACAAATATATATCGATCAACCACAAAGCCTCTCAATTATATATATATGCGAGTACACCTAGGGCTCCTTTCCCTTTGTAACAAG